TATAATAATGAATTAGAGAGAAGTAGTGATACTTTTGATGTCATCTTTTAATGTACTGAAAGAAATATGAAGTCTATATTAAATCTTAGGTACTTATTTAAATTATTTTTATAATTTATATACTAAAGTAAATCTGTGTTTTCTATAAGCTAGCATTTAGGTATACATTAAGGATATGCTCCTTTTCATTATTATTTTGTTCTAGATAAAGTTAGTTACAATATTTAGAGTGTTTATGCTAGTAAAAGAAGAAACTGGACATTGTATATAATCTGAAAAAATAATTATAAAAATCATGATTAAAATCTTTCAGATTTGATTAAAACTTGTTCATTGGTAATATAAATTCTTATTAATAAGATCTTATATTACTCTAAATATGAATAACCTTAAGATATTTTTGCTTCCTGAAATGTAATTCAGGTAGTTAAAATAGAATTGACTAAGCAAAGAATATAAAAATGTCCTCTCTACTGGATCTTGTCACCTTTTTGTTTCACAATTCCTTTTACTAACATTCAGTTAAAGTACAAGTTTTTCTATTTTGGTTCTTAAAGTGAACTTTTAAAACAAAACCAAAAGTCACTAGGATAATATTACTTGTATGATGATCCAATTGCTAATTTTTATCACTAGGGTTCTTTAAAAGAGAATGTGCTCTATTATTCTACAACATAATTTAAATTACACAATATACTTTCATTCCTTGTTTATATGTTTTATCCCAAATCATTATGAATTTTTCAAAGGCAGTTGTTTTCTAAATATTGGTACAAATGGAGCATCTTCCTTTCTTTAATCCTCTAGAATAGAACTACCCCATAAAATTAACTACATTTCTTTCTTCAAACTTCTAGGGCTTATACACATTCTAATTTTCTTTGGTAATACTGTTTTCTAACTTAAGACTAGTTTAGACTCTGCTGACTTTGCAAGATTTTCATTTGCTCTCTATTACGTGATCCAAATCCCATTTTTTGAACTAGAAGACAAGCTGAGACCAGAAGAAAAACTAGCTCCATTTTTCCATTTCAGATCCATGGAGTGCAGTAAGTAGATTTTGATAGTTCCAGAAAAAAAATAAATCTTTTATGAGCTGCCCTGTAGAAGAAGAGGAAATAGCCCCATGTATTAATTTGTTTCTAGTGTGCACTCTTACTTTTCAGTCTTCAGGTAAACCTCATTGTTTCAAAATCATCACATTCACTCTAAGATAGTTTTAAAGATGAGAAACGGAAATGATTGAATTCCAAATACAATATACTCTAGGAAGACATATAAAGAAACCAATGATTTCATAAAAACAGATGTCTAAAAGAAACTTTGAAAGGCCATTTCTACTAAAACATGTGAGAAGTAGTAATCTTTATGAATATCTCACAATTTAAAACCCTTTGAAGGTATACAGAAGAAAGGGAATATGATACATGCAACAATATATATATTTTTATGCATACATTCTCTATCCACGAAACAGATCTTGGAAGACAGTCTGTTTACTTCATGTCTCTTCCACTTGTAATGAATATTAGCCACCCCAAAGTAGACTTGATCTTATTACATATCAAAATGTACAGAATTGAATTAAAAGGAAATAGCAGCCTTCATATCTATATTTATTTTAGCTCCCGGGAAAGCTCAAAAGTTCTCACCTGCTTTCTCCATTTATATCATGTGTGTCCAATGTATATGGGAATATGGAGGTGGGAGAGTGCAGATGAATTCACTGAGAAGTCATAGGGCCTATAAGAATATTGTCCTGTAAAGCAAAAGACAATAAGCAAAGGTATCCAGGAACAGTGGTCATCCTGATTTGCAGTGCACTGTTCATGTTTTTATTTATTTATTTGTTTATTTGTTTGTTTGTTTTATATGAGGTTGTTCTGTTTCTTTTGCATTTTATTTAAATGAATTAATTAATTAATTTTATGGTGACATTGGTTAATGAAATCCAATAAGTTTCAGCTGTACACTTTAACAGTAAGGCATATATATATGCCTTATATATATGGAAAAGGAGGGTTCCTTTTTCTCCACATCCTCTCCAACATTGTTGTTACTTGTCATGTCGAACGAGGTTGTTCTGTTTCTTTTTCATTTTATTTAAATGAATGAATGAATTAATTTTATGGTGACATTGGTTAATGAAATCCAATAAGTTTCAGCTGTACACTTTAACAGTAAGGCATATATATATGCCTTATATATATGGAAAAGGAGGGTTCCTTTTTCTCCACATCCTCTCCAACATTGTTGTTACTTGTCATGTCGATTATATATTTATACAGTGTATTCACCTCCCATAGTTAGATTTCTTTCTGACACCACATATTTGACCCTTTAAGCCCCGCCTACCTCCCCACTCCCACTTCCCCTCTACCCTCTGATAACTACTAGTCTATTGTCCATGTCCTCGAGTCTCTGTCCTGTTCATTTGTTGCTTTTAGGTTTATATCCCACATATAAGTGGTATCATGTGGTTTTCAACTTTTTCTGTTTGAC